CAGTGCCAGAAACTTTGAGAAATATATAAACTTTTAACTGCATACAATAGAATATAAATCCCTATATTTTACGGCTAATAAGTGAAGCACACACAAGTACGAGACATTTACAAATAAACCTTACTGAATTCAGTCGATACGAAAACATTTGTACAGTTTTGAACAAAAGTGCTCCAAATGAAATAAGTGGTTTCTTGAATCTGATTGAATAAGACAAGTCACGTGATGTGCTTTCTCCTACGTCCGCGCGCTTGAACTCCAAATAACCTTGAAAAGAGTCAGGGCCTGGAATACTGAATACATTCCCGCGCAAATAAATTAGTGATTCTAAGCCGAGCATCGGCCAGCCGTAAGCCATAAAAACGCGTCAGTCAGCGTGAATTTTTGTACACTGAAAAACATACAAAACTCTCAATAAAGTAAGTCCTGTCTCCTCTTTTTGTTCACCGTATGTAAAACTACTAGTATAGCATGCTATCAGTGAACAGTCACACATGTTTCAATAGCGTGTGCTTCACACACGCATGTTGGCGTACATATTTCGAATTTTACAGATTCTATTGCAACAAAATCACTTCGAACTTTGCAGACCCACTTGCAACAAATAATTTCGAACAATTGAACTGTAGGTCTCTTCATCGCCACAACAAGAAATATAGAATTTTAATGAGAATACATGTGCCACCCTGTATAAATGTTATTGTTGCATTTACTTTGGTCTTCTTTTCTGCAAAAAATCCTCTCTTCGCGCGGTTTATAATTTGCGTTGTATTTGTGGGCTCGACAGTTGGATTTCCGCCTAAAATTCGAGAGGACTGGTCCCACAATGTAACCACTTTTTCAGATCAATAGTTAAAATGGCTTTGAGCAAAATATGTTTCTAGTTCTTACTGAAAAACATCCTTCTTCGAACCATGTGTACTGGCGCTACAGAATCAGAAACAAATGAATGTACAAAATACAGAAACTTCATCACATGAGAATTTTCAACAGCAGCAAGAACTAAAATGGATACTCAAACATTCAACTCGAAAAGAAAATAATGTTATAATCAAGATGTCATTCCAAATTAATTGAAACAAAGGTTAGGAAGGAAACCAACCCCGTCTCTATTAGAGCAGTTACCAGATTTGATAAAGCTATTTCCCTGAAAGATTAAAGTGAAATATTTTATGTCAACCGAATGTATTACTGTCTAAGATGGCAATGAATGCCAATGTTTCCTTAAAGTGTAAAGCATATTGTATGTGTTCCTTTCATAGATTTTGCCTCGGACACCAGGAGTTGACTATCCTTTCATCACTGAAATATTTGAATGATTTTTGATAGACTGATCTGTAAACCCAAGAATAAAACAAACTGTGGCAACAGGTGACAATAATCTGCTTTGTGCTATCTTTTAAGATTTCTAGATCCATCATTTTTATTTTATTGCTTTCTTTCTTTTGTCATTTATCCAAGTTTTATCTGACTTCTATATTCATAGAATCGTTTCCAAATCTGGAGATCCAGACCCGAATAATATACTCATGCTGACAAAATTTCCATCTATGTTTTTAAAAAGAGGCATTTTCGACTTGCTTTTTTTTTTTGAAAATCGTTCTTCTCGTGTATTTTACTGTCCCATTTCACAATTTGTGTTTGAGCAAACTGTGGTTCTATTTTCATCTTTCTTTTCCCTTTTTTTTCCTCTGAAAGTCTTTCAAATTATTTTCTTTAGACGTTGCTAAAAAAAATATAAATTCTGTAAGTATTTTTCTTTTTACCTCAGTTTCAAGTAACAAAGAAAAAAACTAAATCAAGATGACAGACGATAGGATTACCAATCTTCATGTTCTAATCTTCTTTGGACATTTCAAGGAAATTGTTTTGACAACCGGAAATCGTAACATTTCCTCGAGTTGATGTTTATTTACTTCCCATCTAGGATCATATTTCCAATTCTTCTTCTTTTATGTGCTTTCAGAACGTGGACGACCACGGCTCTCCACAATTTCCTGTCTTTTATATATTCTCTATTCTTGGTTATAAACAACCGAGGATCAAACGCAATATAATTCTTTGGCTGACTAATGACTTAACTTGGACAGCTTAGATGAACGGATAATCAAATAGTCTCTCGTAGATTAACAGGTGATTAGCTTCACTGTTTATCTCGCATTGGCTAAGTAGAGTAAACACCAGGCTTGTTCTCCGTTATCTATGATTGACTGGGTGATCATCCATACGCTTATAACAGTAGTGAATTCGAAACTAACCTAAAAGCTTTTACTTGGGGCCTTATGGCAAACCCATAAAATATTGCTACTTATTAAACTTATTATAGTATAGAAGAAATATATTTATAACCTCAAGTATGGGATTGAGTTCGGGATACTTAATTTTAAAGATAAAGGATTTGAAGTGACTGAGATTCGGATCTACAGAAGGATGCTGAGAATACCTTAAACCGAATATGTAAGTAAAGAAAAGGTTTTAAAGTAAAGTGGAATTACAAAAACATTTAAGGAGACCGTTATAATATCTAGAATACATTATGGGTAAAAATGGTTTGGAAAATCTAATACACATATGATGGATTTGAAAAAGAAGAGTTACAAGGACATCACGGAAATCTTACCTAAAGAATTTTCCTGAAATGATGGTACGGAAGGCACAGGAAAGAGCGTTAGTCAAACACTGCTTAGAGCTACATGAGACAGGAAGTTGTGGAGAGGCATAGACGTTAGCACACAGATTCTGCATAATCCCAGTCACTAGACAGTAGATATAAAAAAAATTTTACGGCTTATGATTTTAAGCTGGAAGAAAAGCAAGCAAGGATCAATTAATAAGACAGAATGTAGGGTTGTCAAAGAAAGGGACCGTCCAAGACCTGAGCGAGAAATTGGACATGTGAAAATCTAGTAAATACAGAACAAAATGTGACACCAAAATCCGAAGAAATATTTGGATACCTAAAAATGCCTTCCAAAAGCTCCACAAGAAACAGAAAAAATTCAAGAATCTTTTCATCAGAAACAAAGAAAAAAAACTGAACTGCTACGTAATATTAATCTAGTTATATGTTAGAGAATACTGAACAATTTTCGCATAGATTTAGTAGAGGAGACTTCACTTAACAGAGATGTAGTTGCAGAGAAGAATTCCAAGAATACCTTTGGCCATATGAGCAACAAAGGAGCTTCAAGAGAAATGGAAAAAAAGAAAACGGCCACAAAAGCAGAAAAGAATCTGAAATATCTGGAACACATAATGGAACGAAAGCTTGGAGAATTTGATACACACAGAAAATATTGGACGCAAAAAGTGCAGACGGAAATAAAGAGGAACCTACGTTGCCATCTTGTGTACATGGAATTCAAAATGACGTGTGGGACGAATAGTAAAACGGTAAACACAAAAGACCTACAATGGATAGGAAGTTGCGGTGACCCATGATCGTCGACATCCTGATGATATCTTATTATACCTGTCAAAATACAAATATTTATTGATTCTGAAAAACAAAAGAACACGTTTATGTTGCTACCTGATCGATACGCATTTACAAAATACTTCTCTTAAATTTAAGAAATTCCTATTCGTTGTATGGGTTTCTCTTCTTTTTTATTTGTCGTCGAACACTTGCGATTTTCGACTCGAAGAATTTTCATACATTGTTTTTAGCTGGAATAGAAATATTGCAAAATGAAGAGTCGATTATTCAGTTGAATGGAATGAATAAAGCGGAACTGGATTAATGGACAACTTGAAAGAAGTTCTTCAGAAAACAGCATAGTATCACTGACGTTGTTTTTCGAGTGGGCGAATAACGAACATCGACGAAATAAAGGAATTAAGTTAGAAACCTTTTTGAGAAAAGCGGTGATATGTACATAGATTTTCAAAGTGGAATGAAGCAAGAAACGCTCAAGATATGCTAAGACATTATTGCCATTTCTTAGAACTGCCCGAGGTATAAACAAGAAGAAAGTAGGAATTTGTATTTGCAGAAGATACACATATTTTTCGTCAAGCTTATCGCTCGAAGCTTGTCATTTTCCTCACTAGTTTATTCAATTGATTCCATCGTTTCACTTTCTCGTTCTTTCTTGCCATTCGCTGTTTTCCCCAACTTGTTTCTATTATTTCTCTCTGTTAATTCCTCTGATTTTTTTACTTTGGCAATTGTTTTCTCTTTTCTGTATTTTTTTAAAATTTCTTCTATATAAACACAATGAAGGCATTCATAGTGGTTCGGATTGAGAAATCAGAAAGTCGAGTTCGAATTCCAGTCGAATTCATTATATTCACTTATATATTATCTTGACCGTCCTGTTAGATCAATTTTACTTCGGAAATGCCCTCGTCAAACTCTCTGCCTGGAGGCAGAGAGGATCCCCGACGAGGCTATGTCGAAGGGCATTGTCTCGTTTCGGTAGACAGCTACCCCACCCAGTTTTTTACGGAGTCTAAGCGGAATTTTTTGACCGAGCCTACGGACTGGGTTACCCCACATTAAATTCGGCCTTGTGCCATATCTGACCGCATGGGGCGGTTGGTAGGTATCCTGCAGTTGGAGATTCGTCTCCAACTGTACTGGTCAAACTCTCTGGTTCTGGGTAGAGAGAATCCCTAGACGAGTCTCGTCTCAGGAGACAGCTACCCGACCCCGTTTTTAACTGGGTATAGAGGGAACATTTGGCCGAGCCTACGGGATCAAATACCCCACAATAAAACTCTGCTTTGTACCACATCTGACCGTGTGTGCCGGTTAGGGAATATCATGTTCCAGTTATGGATAAATAACAGGACAGACTGGGTCCCATAGTCTTGAGTGGCAGCCGAGAAGAATGAAAACTCTGAATTCAACAACTCCAACTGTGAGTTAAATAGCCTCACCAATCCATCAGTGGCTAACCCTGGTGAGTACAGATATATAGGAATGGCCAATCAATGGAGGATAAATAATCCTAAGGTCAGTTGTGTGTTATCTTTGTCAGTTGCAGCGAGACCATATGAATGCTAATCTTAGAAACAGTCAATATTTACAAAGTAGCAATGGTGGACACTTAGGTGAACTTTTAGCATGAGTTTTTGCTCAATTTTCAACGGACGAATACTGGAGTTTTTTTTCTTTCTATCCAATAACTTTATCTGAGTCACCTGTAACACTGTAATTCAGAGCTATGATGCAGAAACAAATGTGAAGTAGTGGTTGTTCAATATCTCTGGAATATCAATGTGTATATTACTTCAGAAGATTTATATTCCACAAGGATGGCGACTTTCGATATTTACTCTCTGTTATTTGAACAGGAAGAGTACGATTTTCATGGAGAACACATTCCCCATGCCATTCAACAAATGACATTAGAGTTGGCAGCTCTAGTGTCTCTAATCGTTATGATGGTCTCTTGAATCTTATTGAATCCATCCGTTGAATGTGAAAAATCAATAAAATGACCAAAAAATTATCAGCAATCTTCCATCCCCATATTGAAAAGTTGCTGAGAAAGAACGGAGCTTATGAATTCGAAGTCCGAAAAGTAAAATATTCAATGTTTTATAATGGTAATGTACTTTGTTTGTGGATAACTATGTTTGGATATTTCAGGGTGGGAGACGTAAATGACACTGTTTCAATGAACTGGGCGTCTACACAAACATGTGCTTCTAGAAAATAACTTTTGGAGTAGTAAGAAATAATTTCGGATAAGAAATCCATTGATTCCATAAAGAATAATTTGTTAATATTTCGGATACAAAAACAAATGATAAAATTTGGGCTTTCGAGAAGATGTGAACGAGAGGGTGTGCATTCTTCAAAAGGGTAATTCAACCTTGCTGGGATTTGATGCTTTCTGTAAGCGAATGTTTGGGAATACCCCGTGTTTCAATGCCCAGGGTGGTAAATGTATTTCTCACTATTTAAAAAAAATGGGGAGTCTACTCAAACATGTATATCCACCAAATAATGTTTGCAGTGGTATATATATATATATATATATATATATATATATATATATATATATATATATATATATATATATGGAGGGTACAGGTATTTGTTTGTGTGCACGCGTCTGCGTGTGACTATGCACGCGATGCGTGTGTGTCATTATATATTCTGCTCTTGTTCTTTAAATTATTTGTTATACCCTTTCGTCCTTCTAGTAATCATCTCAGCACTCGGTTTGCTTAAAGTAATTTCCCCCAAAGTAGACAAGGTCTGTTTTCATACTGGGCAACCCCATGAATGTAGGAACATTATTACAATTTCTTATAAAATACAGATGGCCACCATTCCCATGACTCTTATTAATACATTATAATAATTTCCTCTAAAATAGGGATGACCCTTCATGCTACAAGGTACCTAATGTAGAATAAATCGTTTTCGATCGAGTGTATACTGTTTTATTTCAAAATGTCTGCACTAGAATTATTCAACTTTATTTCGTCATTATTTGTTTTTCTTTTCTTGTTTTTTTTTTTCCTTTTCTATTCATCTTTTACTCTGTTTTCATGGTCACAGTTCATCTTTTTCAGATATTAACTATTTCTTTCTTTCTGTTTTACTTTACTTTCCTTTTCTTTTCCTTTGTTCAAATCTTTATTTCTTTATTTTTCTTTCTTTCTTCGCTGGTTTCTCTTTCCTTTCCTTTTTCTTTGTTAGTCTATTTATTTCTTTTCTTCTTTCCTTCTTTTTCCTTTTCTTTGTTCGTTTCTTTCTTTCTTTCTTTTGCTTTTTCTTTCTTGGTCTCTTTGTTGGTTTATTTCTTTTTTTGCTGATTTCTTTCTTTCCTTTCCTTTCTTATTTTTTTGTTCATTTGTTGGTTGGTTTCTTTCTTTCTTTTTTCTCTTTCTTTCTTTTTTCTTTCTTTCTTTTTTCTTTCTTTCTTTCCGTTTTCTTTGTACGTGTCTTTCTTTGTCCCTTTCTTTGTCGCTTTCTTTCTTTCTTCGTTTCTTTTTCGTTTTTTTTTCTTTCCTTTCCTTTTCTTTGATCGTTTTCTTTCTTGGTTTATTTATCTATTTATTTAATTTTGTTGCATTCTTACGTCTTTAATATTTTCCTTACATTAAGTTTATATTATTTTTAATTTTTATGTCCTTTCTTTTTTACAGCTTTTTCCTTTTCATCCATTTTAAAGCAGCGTTCTTCTTATATAGCCAAAAGCAATTTCAGATTTAAAGTTACGACACCCAAGTAAATGTCTATGTAATTATTTCCTACCAATTACAAAAAAAAAGGTTAACTCGTCTTTGAAGGAGAAAATTGGCACTTGTCTAAGTACAGAATTTCACTTCTTAGTATTCATTAACTTTTTATGTATTACACTTGAATCTGTCAGATTATTGTCGCATAACTCTGACCTAAGTGATAAAGGGCTACTTGATTTAATCTGAAATACTATCGTAATTTAAGTAGGATATTTCAGTATCGATTAGTCTTCTTAAGCAAAAGGACGCCTCTCGAGCAACAGTCTCTTAAACTACCATAGATCTTTCTCTAAAAGTTGCACTTGAAACAAGGAATACATAAACAATTTCTTAAATGAATAGATAGGTAATAAAAAGCTAATTAAATTTCGATGAAACGTTTCTTCTATAATACTCTTCAGGTTGTTATTCCTGTATTGTTCTTAACGAAGAATGCCACTTGGAGAACTGGTACTTTTAGAAATTTATCTGGATACGAGATCGGCAAACTACAATACGGAGACTTGATCAATTAACTATATGGAAAATGTTATTTTTCTGAAGCAATACTATTTATTATTATTTTTAATATTATGTATAAAATAAAAGTTGTTTTATATGCATCATTGCAGAAGAAAACAAGACCAACAGGATAAATGACCACGATTCGGGTTTGTTTGATGTAGGTAAGATTTGTGTTCTCAATTATTGGCTATTTGCAGGAAGCAGCCTCTCTAAATTTACATGGAGTTTGCTGTACTTTGAGAATAGTAATAGTTTGGTTGTTAACGAATTATATATAGCCTATCCGGAGCTTTGGTGTTTTTTAGTGTAAAGATGGTACTAGGTTTAAGAGAGCAGAGTTAGTATTTGCGACTGTTCAGTTTTTGAACAATCTTTCAGGTCTTCTCATCCAATCTACTTAGAGTTTGAAGGCATTCCGAAAAAATGTGGAAGGTAAAAAGACGCAGGCGAAAAATATACTGCTTAATAATTTTTAATTTCCACATCATAGTGTAAGAAGATAGCTTCAAAAATGAAGATGCTGTATCTAAATAAATGTCACTCTTTAGTTTTGCCGTCAATTTTGATGAAAGTGGTGTGGGAAATTTAAAGAACATAAAAATAATTATTTTTTTATCAAAAAATATTCCTTTCCTTATTATTTTACTTATATTTTATTCATTTAAACTAAATGAAAATTATTAGTGTGTATGTTTAGTCATAATAAAAGACATATTATTTAAAGTGGATTAAAATATATTAGGAAAATTATTGTCTTGTTTTCTTTTTATCGTGGCGTACAAGGCGTCCTTGATAAGACGATAAACTAAATCGGTGTCCTGGGTAAGACGATAAACTACATCCAACAGCAAGGCCTCAGATCAGGAGGTTTTGAGGGGCGGGAAACCACCTCTTAATTGCAGGTGTTCCAAGGTCCACCCTGACTCGCGGGGTAGCATCTGTTAGGGTCCCATCTTTGGGCGAATAGTTAACCCCAAACTGGAACTATGAAAGTGTAAAAATAGGTTTTAATACAAGCAATACATTTCTGTAAAAAATTATAACCATCAATGAAATTTTGAAGAAAATAATTATTACTAGTAATACATTTTTGAAAAAAATATTACCAGCCTTAAAATCTTGTCGGCATTTAATAATCCATTGAGGTTGATAATCCGTAAAACAAATCAAAGCAAACTAAACCTTGGCGTAAAATTCCAATCAAATTTTCCAAAATGTTTGTCTGTCTCTGCTCTGGACAATGAGCAATCCACTTTATAGGAATCATAAATCCTTTTAACCACAGAACTATGTTTACTAATAAGTGTTAATTGGGAAACTTCTCCTACAAAGGCAATCTATTTCTATAATTTACAAAAACAGGTGCACATCTCTCCACAGTGCAACTTTATAAACGACTGAATATATTTATAAAGAATTTTTACAACGTCAACTAACAAAATCCGTTGCATAGATTCTTCACATCCCATCTTACTCACTCTCTATCTTACTCAATCTCTATTAATCTTTCTCTTGTTTACTTTCACTAACTGGGTGTATATTCTTCTTTCTCACTTCCTGTCGTGTGGTGTTTTTTTTTTTTTTTTTTTTTGTTCTGACGCAGCTTAGAGGTGGCACAAGGCTGAATGTATCGGACACCCAATAAGGAGTGAACACACTATTCAGTCGAAATTGATCAAGAGATATAAACTTACTAATCATTACTTCTTGTGATATATTCTGTCTGTTTTAATGGTGCTGGTTCCATTCTTGATTCATTCAAACACGTCAATAGGTTTTTCGTTGTTTTTTTCTTTGCTTCTGTAGCCTTTGTTATATCCTGTGTGTTTTAAATTCACCAAACATTCTTACCTCTGTATACTCCACCCCAACTTAAGTTGTTGCTTTATGATAGTTATGTAGAGTTTCTACGCAGATCATATTCTCCTTCAGTTCTATGGTTGCCATACATTTGTCACCTAATTACTCGCTTTTCACTGCCATATTAGACATTACGTAGCAACCTCATTTTTTCTGCCTTCACATGTAATTTTTCAATCCTTTAATAAAATACTCACTTTCTGAAAATTAATTACATTTATTTTATTTTTATTTTTAGGAGATCTTCTTATTCTCTGAAAATCATTTACTTTACAGGTTAATTAAATTATTGAGGAAAACACATTTTTGTCACACTCCTATTTTGTTCTGTTCAGTTCGTGTACGATCCGTTCCCAATAGCGACAGATTAATTTATTATATCCTTTCCGTATAAATCAAGCTGCTCTCCCATTTCAACAGGTTGGACTTTATCAAATGTGTTTTTGTAATGTATGAAAGACACGTCTCGCCATTTTTAAATTTATGTTGCATGTCCTAACCATAAAATAGCACTTCTTGTTCCAACATTTTACCCAAGGTCACATTGAAATTTCCCTACTGCCGTTCTAATTCAAAGTGAAAGTAAGGGAGTAACAGTATGGAATAATTAAGAGCTTTTCTATATAATGAAGTGCGTATTCATTTGCAACCAATGTGTTTTTTTTCTTTTGTCTTTTGTCAGAACTACATAGACCTTCCAGTATTTTCCGCTATGGTATATTTGATGTATCACTTCAATAAATCGCTAAGATATCTAATGTTGACGATATCTCTATGACCAAAATTTGATCTGGTCCACCTGTTCTGCTACTCTTAATCTTGGTAATCGTTGTTCTTTGGTTCTTCAATATATTAATATATTTTCAATTTTTCACTTTTGTTGACATAGAAGATTTGTCTTATGGACTCTTTTCAATGCTTCTGTAAAGCTACATATATTTCCCACCTATCTTGTTAAGACATTCCTTTTTCACTTGGATATTTACTTGACCTCCCCCCCCCGCCACTGAGTCAGGTTGTTACACAAGGTCAGTTTGTAACGTGAGGACCTGAATGTTTTCACTCGGACCGCTGGTCCAAACGGGTCTTAGCTGGTCGTAGCTTGTCCAAGCTGGTCAGAGTTGGTCTAAGCTAATCATAGCTGCTCTTAGATGGTCATAGCTTGTCCAAACTGGTCAAAGCTGGTCTAAGCTAGTCATAGCTGGTCTTGGCTTGTCCAAGCTGGTCCAGGCCGGAGCCAGTCCAAGCTAGTCCTAGCCGTGATACCACCAGCCATCCCAGGGACGAGCCCTGTGCCAGGTAGGTATTTGACAGATCATACATAAAAGTATGACCTGTCATTCCTCCTTCAACTGTTTGTAATTTAATGGTTGTGTTTTGTCTTATATAGGCCCTTGCTTAGGTACTTCGAGGTGGTGTAATGGTTAGAAAGCTTGGTTGAACAATTAAGACTGAGTAATGAGTTCGATCCTGACTGGGTGCCCCCTAATTTCGGCGTTTGACACATGTAAGCTACGCTTGGAAAATCACTATATAAACCTTTGTTTGCAATTAACTTTGTTTTTCAGTAGGCTATGCATTTCATTAATCCATTTATTTTTTTTATTTTTTTCACTCATTAGGAATTATTATTTTAAATCTTGTCATTATTACATTTCTTTACGTGTTTTATTTTGAAACCCGGAAATGATTACAAAGATTTTTAGTTGTTCTTTACTCTTATTTTGTTTGAAAATGAGCATATTGAAAGTTAGTCATATAGAAATTGAATAAATTCCTTTAAAAGTTTATTCATTAGTATTAAAATATATTGCCTATTTCTTTGTCTTCTACTTATTTCTCACCTTTTAATTGCCATTATTATTATTGTAATTAATATTAATAATAATAATAACAATAACAATAATAATACTAATATTAAATATAGCAGTAGTAGTAGTGGTAATACGATTTTATTATTGCGTAATATAGTAAGAATTTCGGTATTCACATCAAACGACGATTTTCTTATGATTTGCCAAGAAGAGTAAAAAGCTCGAAAAATATGTGCATCTTTACCGTATCATTGGAAAGAGTCCATAAGACAAGTCTTCTATGTCAACAAAAAATAAAAAAAAGTATTCATTTAGAGTCAGCTTTACAGAACATCAGCGTTTCTGCTGGCGTAGCTCATTAATTTTCCGATAAAGATGGCCAACCAGTAAATCATGAATATCGACCGACACATTTTCAGCTTTCAATAATTATATATATCCAATATATATATATATATATATATATATATATATATATATATATATATATATATATATATATATATATCCAGAAGAATATTGGGAAAATGTAAGACAAAGTTGCAAAAGTTTTTGTGACGAGTTTATTTTTCCTTTAGGACTTCATTGGACTAATAATGTTATAT